CATAGTGACTGGAAGTCATTGAACCTGCCTGTCCTCCATATTGGCCAGAATTCAGTAAACCTACCTATCAGCCATATTGACCGGGAGTAAGGGAACCTGCCTATCCACCTTATTCACTGGAAGTCAGTAAACCTACTTATCCATCATATTTACTATAGGTCAGTAGTTGTGTATTATTGCTGTTGGCATTAATGGCAACGTGTGTGAACTTGGTGTATATGCAGACTATGGAAAAGTCACCATATGATTGGCATGGGTCTAACAGGAGTCACATTAACGTAGCGGCTAGATGCTTGTCTCCAGACCTGAAGTCTGGTTCAAATCTTCATTGAGACGGGAAAAAAAAGACTGTCTTTCAGGTTAACCCCGCCTAAAATGGGTGCCAGGGACAAGTGGTCAGCATAATCTTTTCTTCTTCTTCTTTGTCTTCTTCTTCTTCTGCTCCTCCTCCTTCTTTTTTTTCTTCTTCTTCTTCCTCTGCTCCTTCTTCTTTTTCTTCGCGTTCACGGACTGTAAACTGAAATTTCTGGTTGTTTGTCAGCTTCTGGACTTTAGTACTGCTCCAGAATCTGAGTGTTGCATGCATATCTGTTTGACATGTTCTGACTCATGTATATGCAGACTGTTGATTCCCTGCCTCTCAGTTAGATGAACTCCGACTTGGAAGGAAACCCCCAATTAGTCAACCCTTACAACATGCTTGTTGGGCAGTCAGTGGGTCTGCTCTTGTTGACCCCAAAATAGGGCCCCGGAACCCACACGGGGATATTGACCTTATCACTCCTAGAGGCCTGATTGGTCTATAAAACAGGAGTCGACAGCGGTCTTGAGAACAGACTGTTCAGAAAGCAATGGCAAACCACTGAGTGTAAAAATGCCCAGAAAAACAACACCCACAAATTTTATGCAGTTGGTTCTGCTGTGTCCTGTAAAGGATAAACAACTGGCTGACTCTGTTCATTATATTTTTTTGTTCAGCGTGGCTGTCTATGGTATTTGATCTCAGATGGCCAAACCATTTCATTCTTCTTCTTTCATTGTCTCACGGATACCAGGTTGTAGCCCAGTGTTGTCATTTTCCGTATTTGTCTTGTACTTCTTGGGTGGCTTGAGTGATGGATTTGTTCATCTTTTTTGTAGGTTCCAGCTACACCATTTATCCTAATCTTTCTTGGTCTTCCTCTCACCTTCCTCCCAGATGTTCTGCTTTAAAAAAAGTCTCATGTGCAGTCTGACCTGGCTGCATTCTCTTTAGATGGTTAAACCATTTCCTTTTTTGTCAATATAATCCAGACAGGGTCTTATTCAAATTTCTCTCTAATGCTGGTATCATTTCCTTTGTTGTTCTTTAATGAATTGCCGACTAGGACTTCTAATTTCTTCATTTTTAATTTTATCATTTCTTGTCTCTGTGGCCGGACAGTGCGATCTTTAACCTGAAGATTTAGGGCTTCATTGCAAGTGCAGCCACCCTAGAATATTGAAGTTGCGATTGTCATTTTGCCTCCTAACAGAAAGCAAAAATATCCATCACCTTAGAGACAGCTTTAACCCTGGTCTCCAAATTATAGCCCACCATTCTAAACGCTTGGCAAGAACCTTGTATAATGTTCAATGCTGAATTAAGGATCGACATCACAGCTCTTGGCACAATCCCATAAGTGCTGCATCCCTATCTTCAGTAGAAAATGCAGAGTTCCATTTCTGATGGCACCAGTAACATAGTGTGACTGTATGACCGTCTCACCTTTCCCTTAATTGTTGAGAGTGAGCCATATTCCTTGGTAACTCCATCCTCCTCAGTCTATGGTGATCTGTCTATTTGTGCCTCCACACTGTTCACTCACTCCTAAATAATCCTTAACAACATTTAGTTAACTTCCCTCTGCTTTATATTTTAGACTCTTAATATCATTTTATGATTCTGACTTTGTGGTTCAAACTTTCATCTTGACTTCTGGTTCAGACTTTCATCTTGACTTTTTGGTTCAGACTTTCATCTTGACTTTGTGGTTCAGACTTTCATCTTGACTTCTGGTTCACACTTTCATCTTGACTTCTGGTTCAGACTTTCATCTTGACATTATGGTTCAGACTTTCACCTTGACTTCTGATTCAGACTTTCATCTTGACTTTATGGTTCAGACTTTCATCTTGACTTTATGGTTCAGACTTTCATCTTGACTTTATGGTTCAGACTTTCATCTTGACTTTATGGTTCAGACTTTCATCTTGACTTTGTGGTTCAGACTTTCATCTTGACTTTGTGGTTCAAACTTTCATCTTGACTTTGTGTTTCAGACTTTCATCTTGACTTTGTGGTTTCTTTCAGTTTATTATTGGCGTTTTTAGTTTAGTCATGGTCTCTGATACATTCTTCCGACAAAGTTTTAACTTCATGGTTCAGTCATTAAACTAGTCGTGCATCAGTTCACCACCAGATGGTGCAGATCCAGCCAGCATATCTGCCTGTTTATTTCCTAATACACCGACATGGCGAAGAGAAAATATCCAAAGGTCACTAACTACCCGGTACCTGTGAAGCAATGCTTGCCATTCTGTACTGAGTATACCTGTCTCTATCTTTCTCAACATTCTCTGTGAGTCAGTTACAATTAAAACAGGGGCTTAAAGCAGGTTCTCAAGCCAGTGGAAAGCTGCAGTGAATGTCTCCACCTCCATTCTCAAACTAGATGTTGCAAGCCTTTGTCACACTGATTGAGATCTCTTCCGTAATGTATTTAAACAAAAACACTAAAAATAGTACATCAGTGAACTAGCAAATAACCTGTTTAAATACCTTTACTTGAGATACACAAATCATTGTTACAAAGGTAATACATTATTGAAACATCTCACTTATGCGGTATGCTATGTGGAAGGTATAGTGAAGCTATCATAACATTTTTTGCTTCTTCTTTTTTTTTTTTTGTCATTCACTGATTGCTATGTGGAAGGTATAGTGAAGCTTTCATAACATTTTTTTCTTCTTCTTTTTTTGTTGTTGTCATTCACTGATTGCTATGTGGAAGGTATAGTGAAGCTATCATAACATTTTTTTCTTCTTCTTCTTTTTTTGTTGTTGTCATTCACTGATTGCTCTGTGGAAGGTATAGTGAAGCTATCATAACATTTTTTTCTTCTTCTTCTTTTTTTGTTGTTGTCATTCACTGATTGCTATGTGGAAGGTATAGTGAAGCTATCATAACATTTTTTTCTTCTTCTTTTTTTTTGTTGTTGTCATTCACTGATTGCTCTGTTGAAGGTATAGTGAATCTATCATAACATTTTTCTTCTTATTTTTTTTGTCATTCACTGATTGCTATGTGGAAGGTATAGTGAAGCTATCATAACATTTTTATTCTCCTTTTTTTTTTGTTATTCATTGATTGCAAAAGTCCCATATTAATCTCTGGTTGTTCATCCACTTCTGAACTTTAGTCTTACTCTAGAACCTAAGTTTTATATTCACATCCTTTTTACAGATCTAGCTTTGTTTTTTGGTGTGCAGACTGTTGGTTCCACCTTGGAAGGAAACACTCCCTAAATACTCGCTTTTTACAAGTAACAGAGGCAGTAGCTCTATTATTTGTTCCCCAATATGGGGCTCTGGAATCCACACAAGAAATTTCCTGTGATAAATTCTACTTGAATAAATCACAGATATACTTGGATAAATCATATATATACTTGGATAAATCACAGATATACTTAACAACACTAGATACGCTAGAATATATATTAAATACACTTGAATAGATAACACATAAATCTGAGTAGAGCAGATATACTTAAATATATTGCAGGTTATACTTGAATAGATCATATATATACTTGAATAGATTGCAGCTATTTTGGAATAGATCACAGATATACTTGAAAAGATTGCAAACATGCTTAACAGATCATAGATATACTTCAATAAATCACAGATATACTTTAGTAGATTCCAGACATACCTGAACAGGTTGTAGATAGATTTGAGCTGAGTTGAGTCAAGGATTGACACCACAGAACTTGGGGCATTCCCATGTGTGCTCCATCCTCATCTTCAGCAGCCAATGCAGAGTTCCAGTACTAATAGTACTTTTCGCAATCTGGTTATATGTCCGTCTTGCCTTTCCTCTGAGTGTAGTGAGCCGGCCAGACCCTCTGGTACCATCTAGGTGCCTCATTCTCTCCAGGCCATAATAATCTTGTTTCGCTTCTGACTCCGTTGCTTGTTCCCAAAGGGCCCTGACCAAATCTGCCTTGTCGTGTATCAATTCACCACCTGGTGGTGCAAATCCAGCGAATCTGTCTGCCTGTTAATTCCCCACCAGGCCGGCATTGCCTAAAGAAAAGATCCAAAGTATCCTCACTATCCGTGACCTTCCCAGTGAAGCTTGCCACTCTGCTCGAAGCAATCCTGTCTTCATCTTTCTCAGCATGCTTTCAGACTTTGTTACAATTATTAATGTGTATGCATCTTGTTCTCTAGCCACCGGAGAGCAGCAGTTACAGCCTCCACCTACATTCTCATTCTAGATGTTGTGGTATCGTATGCTAGGCTGTCCTGCACTAAAGATTTTCCATTGGCTTTCGCTACGAACCCCCAGGTACTTCTCTTTCCTCTCAACACCGAACCAGATCATCTGGATATGAATTGTCGTGAATCAACTATTGGACTTCCACCTCAAACAGTTGGTTCATGACAATTCATACCTGAACAGACTAGATATACATGTACAGATCACATACACAATTAAATAAATCACATATTTTCTTGAATAGATCACAGATACATTAAAACATATCACAGATACAAAAACAAAACACAAATAAAGTAGGACAGATACACAAGAACAAATCACAGATACACAAGAACATATCACAGATACACAAGAACAGTTCAGATATACGCAGGCATAGCACACACACATTTAAATAGGGACAGATCATATCTCATTGAATATATCAGAGATGAGTTTGTGGAGTTCTGAGATATTCATGATAAATGA